GGATTTCGGATGTTTGTGTTTTTGTTAGTTAGTTTTTTGTGTGTGTGTGTGTGTGTGTGTGTGTGTGTGTGTGTGTGTGTGTGTCAGCAGACTGACTCGTCATGTCCTCCGTGCAGATAGAAGAGGCACCTCCAGCCCTGCGCAGCCCCGTAAAGCACCGTGAAAATCCCCACGAATGTGGCGAACTGGCAGGCCTCCGGCGGACCCCACTTCTGCACCACCAGGTGAGACACCTCCCCGGGCTGTCCCGTCAACTCGGCCCGGTTCTCCGTCCTCCAGTAGCCCAGAGAGAACAGGGCGCAGCGTCCCTTGAAGGCGGAGCCGTTGAGAGCCATCGGGACGACCACCAACAGCCCCGCCGCGATGGAGAGGCCGTGAGCCGCGCAGTGGGCCAGCAGCAGTCGCCGGTTCAGCTCCATGAAGGAGGTCTCACAGCGACGAAACAGCGGGAGCTTTCACAGCTGTCGCAAAAAATAAAAAAAAAGATTTTTTTTTTTCAATCAGCTCATCCCAGTGCAGTTTTTATTTCTGTAACTTGCCCCAGTTTTGGAGGGGTTTTAAAGAAGCAGGGCGGGTCAACAGCAGTTCACACGATAACAAGAGGTCTCACTCCGACACAAATTTATGGAACCGAAATCAAAGCTGATGTTAAACCAATGCACTGACATTAAAACGATTTGTCAGTTTTACGCTTTATGACTTAGTTTTAATCACTACATTAATTGATATCGCTTCAAAATTCTTGATAAACTATATGATTCACATGCTTCATTTTTTTTTAGCTTTAAACTTTTATTTTGCTGCTTTTCACTTCTACTTGTTCGGTTGGTTTTAGCTTGTAGCTACTGGTATGGTTCTGGTGTTCTAAAGATAGTGATAAGTAGAGTAATTTCAGCTTGTTTTAACTTTGTTTAAAACCATGTTTCATCTGCAAAGAGGATCGCTTCGAGAGGGACATTTTGAATGGAGTGGGATATCTTCGTATGAAGACGATCTTTAGTACTAGAACTTGCTCTGGCTTTGATGTAATCACGTCGACGTCACGTCTGATTCCTCCAGATGACCTACATCCAAAAACTAGAAAAAAAAATATAACATTTAAGACGGGTAGATGTCTGCTGAAATCCGAACCTGGCGACTTGTTTTGTTTGTTTCACTTTAAATCCATGCACATTAAATAATAATAATAATAATAATAATAATAACTTTCTTTAGACTACTGAAGTTAATTTAATTACCATATAAATTTAAAAAATCCAATTAAATTAGCTTTTTTAATCTATCATGCATTTTAATTACTTGAGATTATCAGAAGGAAAGCACAGGTTGAACAACTTGTAGATAAAGAGAGGCCAGACTAACTACTGGTTTGGACATTTGCATAGGAGTGACGGTGTGTGTACTGGTGCAGGGATGTTAAAGCTGCCAGGAAAAAGACAAGGAGTAGAAATATGGATGCAGTCAGACAGGACGTGGAGGTAGTTGGAAGACAGAGTGAGATGGAGGAGGATGACTCAGAGAGAACAGCCAAAATAAGAATAATCAAAACTGTAACACTTTAAGCTGATCTTGACCTTTAATGTAAACATTTAATAAATTAATTCTGTTGGGTTTTTTCTTATTAACTGCTATGTCTGTTCTTGTAAGCTGTAAGCTGTTCTATCATAACTTCTGTCATTAAAAATAATTATTATTCAAATACAGTTAATTAAACATCATGCATGCACAAATTTGACAAATTAATTTGTACTCAAGCAACAGAAACACAGGAAGACTCGCCTAAAAGTCAGTGTGACGCTTCACGGTGACGTCATCATCACGCCCACTTTGCTCGCAGACGCTGAGGTTTATGGGAAGAAAGATCAAGAATCGAGATGGCTGTTGAGAATTAGCGTCGTTAAGGGGGATTATCCCTTTCTGGAGCTGATTCCCATGATTGAACTACTCGTTTATTGTGCGTAAAACCGACAGACGTTACCGTGTGGAACTGTAAGAATTTGTTTTATGATTTTTCTGACTGTCAGCCAACAACGACTGTGGTTAGCTAGCTAACGCTGTTGTCTCTGTTATTGTTTTTCATCCTTCAGGCACCCTCTGCCGCTCTCCCCGGGCTTCCCCAGCCGAGGCAGGGGTCCGGCGGTCCGCCTGAGTGATGGTCATCCACTGTTTGTTCCGTGAAGATGGATGAGAAGTCCAACAGCGGCCACCAGCGACTTTCCATCGTCCTGCTCATGGTGCTGATCTTCGGCGTCATCATGGTCCAGTACGTGTGCCCCAGCAGGTCCGAGTGCCGCGTGCTCCACCGCTTGGGCTCCTGGTTTACCGTCGGCGGTGCGACTCGTGCCCGGCTGGGTGAAAACAGAATGCAAGACAAGCCGCAAAAAGACCCGTACATCGCAGAGGACGGCGCTCTGGCCCGCTTCGTCCCCCGTTATAACTTCACCGAAGCGGACCTGAACCGCGACGTTGATTTCAACATGAAGGGGGACGATGTTATAGTGTTCCTGCACATCCAGAAGACGGGGGGCACGACCTTCGGCCGGCACCTGGTGCGGAACATCAAGCTCGAGAGGCCCTGTGAGTGTCACGCGGGTCAGAAGAAGTGTACGTGTTTTCGGCCTGGGAAGAAGGAAACCTGGCTCTTTTCACGTTTTTCCACCGGTTGGAGCTGCGGGCTCCATGCAGACTGGACCGAGCTGACCAGCTGTGTCCCCTCACGCATGGACTCACAAGAGACTCACAAAAACCTGCCCAGGTTAGTAAAATAATAATATTATTTTTAAAAGATAATAATAATAATAATAATAATAATAATAATAGGGTGCTTATAAAAAGACAATTTGCCCAATATGAAACAAAAAATAATATTAACTAAATTTAGCAAAGTTGGACTTTTAAATCCAACTTTGGTTGTTTTGTGGTAGGTGGCAGCTGCTCACAATCTTTGCTTGCAAATTTTGTTGTACATTGATACGAGAAAAGAGTCACAGATTTTGTTCTTTGAAGCACCTTTAATTAATTTGTCACTTATTGCATGGATGGCTAGACCAGAGGTTCTCAAACTGGGGTCCACGAATCTTGGGAGGTCCTCAAAAATTTTCAATAAATGTTTATTTTGGATTTTATTTGAAAAAATGAACACGAGGAACAATGCATTAGTAAAACAAACATACTAAACTAAACAAAAACATAATATTCTCATAATATTAAGGGGTTAAAATGACAGTAAATTATTTCTAAAATAGCATGGGGTTTATGAGGGGGTCCCTGGAAACATTTCATGCTTGTAAGCAGTCCTCAGACCCAAAAGGTTTGAGAACCCCTGGGCCAGACAACAGTGCCTGCTTAAATTAAGTTACTCAAAAGGAGAGTTTCTTAAAATGAACATTCAGACAACACACTTATTTTAAAACTTATTAAAATCTGGTTGTTTTTGCTCTAAAATTAAACATATAACTGATAATCAATCATCATATAATACTGTATATCATTGTGATTATTCTATATTTTTATACTAAGAGTTGTATAAAAGTGTATAACCAAAATTACTATTTTTGAATTTATAACCTGTTTATTATGAACATATTTTATGTTTCGTCCAGACATTATAATGATAATCACATATTTGAAACTCTTACATATAAACAAATTGATTGCAGTGAACCTCAAAACAAGTTTCAAAGGACTTACATAAACACAATACTGTCTTCTTTTCTCTCCAGAAGACACTATTACTACATAACGATCTTAAGAGATCCGGTGTCACGCTACCTCAGCGAGTGGCGTCATGTGCAGCGAGGTGCAACATGGAAGGCCTCCTTACACGTGTGCGACGGACGTTCGCCGACGTTATCGGAGCTTCCAAATTGCTACCCAGGAGATGACTGGTCGGGTTGCTCCCTGCAGGAGTTCATGGACTGTCCCTTTAACCTGGCCAACAACAGACAGACCCGCATGCTGGCCGACCTGAGTTTGGTGGGTTGCTACAACGTCTCAGCTATGAGCGACGAGGACCGCTGGGCGGTGCTTCTGGATAGCGCAAAACGCAACCTAAGAGGGATGGCCTTCTTTGGTCTGACTGAGTACCAGCGTAAGACCCAGTACCTCTTTGAGCGAACCTTCAACCTGGAGTTCATCGCCCCGTTCACGCAACTGAACGGCACCCGTGCTTCCAGCGTCGAGGTTCCTCCTGAGACGCAGCGCAGGATCCGCCAGCTGAACCAATGGGACGTGGAGCTGTATGAGTACGCCCGCGACCTTTTCCTGCAGCGATTCCAGGTGGCGAGGCAGCAGGAGCGCAGGCAGACCAGAGAGAGGCGACAAATGGAGAGGAGGCGGCTTCGTGGAAGGTTGGCAACAAAGCAGGGGAGGCGGCTGAAGCCCACTGAAATGACACGTGTGACCGATGAGGAGAAAGCAACGGAGAGCACTGTGGAGTCAGAGGTGCTACTCCAAGACTGGTGGGATCTGGATGAGAATAGCACCACAGAGGACTACTCGGACAATGTGGAACAGTGGTAGCAGTTGGCGGTCTGATTACAGAGCGTGCCAAGTTTTGCCTTGTTTGTTTTCACTAATTCAGGATTTTTTTTGAGTAAATGCCTTTCTTCCCCATTGTTTATCCACTATTTTAGACAACACTTTAATTTATTGAAACTCTATGTCTTTGTTAAAGCTGATGTTTCTTTGATGCTTTTATTTTTTTAAGGAAAAGTTTTATAAAATTCAGTGGCAACACTAGCCATCTACAATATTGTTTTGGACTTTTAACATTTGAATTCTTATAAGGCTTAAATCAAGATGTTTTTTTTGTCACAACTAATGGTGCGGGTACTATATGTTTATTAATTTAAATGACACTACTTTCTGTAATAACTATGAGTTTGTCAAATTGTCCAGTCAGAAATGAATACATTTTGAAATGTACTTGTGTTTTTAAGTGTCTTTTCAATAGCAGATAAGGAAAATGGGAGTTTTCTTAGATACCTCAATTTGTAGCATTAACCACTAATGATGTAAAATAACAGAATTTGTTTCTTTTTTATATAAAATGCTTTTACACTCATTGGCTTGTATCTCTGTTTACTGTGTTTTTCTGTTTTCCATTTTTGTGCTGCACATGTAATTCTGTGAGTCACCAGCAGGTGGTGCTCAAGATTAAAAAAATACCACAAGGAGAAATACAGTGCTGAGGGAATGGTCAGTTGATTCAGATAGTTATCCATATCCTGTGTAAAGCTAGTAAATGACATAACAGATACATAAACTTTTAAAGGCACTTTTCGTAATTTAAATCCAGTCTTTCTGTAATAAAGTTTTAGTTCTGCAGACTTTCAAGTATAAATTTGACACATTGCTACTATTAGAAATGGCTCCCTTTCTTCAGATATGTCTAGTTTTCACAACTAATAATGCTATTTTAACTAGAGTGGACTAGTATTTTTTTGATAGCTACAAAGTTATTGAATGATTGAAGTGTACTTTAACTATATACTATAATTGGCTGCTGTACAATATCTTATTAAACCTTGTTTTCTACCTCTTGCGAGCAGCAGAAGTGGCATATTTAATGTCGAAATTTATTAGCGGTACTTTTAACCAGCTATATGCTGTAATGTTATTACAGTATTGTTAATTATGTTTTAATGAAAAATTCTAAACATCCGTTTTGTCTTATTTTGAAAAATCAACGACAGGAAACAGATCTCACGGCGTCAAGAAAAAAAACACCAAAGGCAAAAAAAAAAAAAAAAAAAAAAAAAAAAAAAAAAAAAAAGTAAAAACTGAGAAATTATTTCTCAAACACTTAATATTTTGTTCGCTTTTAATAGTTTAAAAAAATTAAATGAATTATTTGGCGGCGTCTTTACGGTTTTGAAGCAGCCTTTTGTAGTGCAGAACCCGTTAGCCTAGCTTAATGCTTAAGACATTTAAGCTAGCAAGCTTCTTTTTTTTTAACCAAAAAGTTTGGTAAAGATGAGCAACTGCATTCTTAAAATTACACATATAAGTTTAATTTTATGAATAACATTGCGCCCAGTTTTAACAGCAGAGGGTAATAATAGATATATTTGAAGCTTTCAACCTTCTGAGGTAAGCTGATACGCGGCTTGAATTTCTGTTGTTGCTAGTACCACTGGTATATCATACCATTTTATCGTGACTAATTTATCTGTGATGATGGTAAATAAACGAAAGCACTCCCTTGTCGTCCAACTCCTCCCATTTCATTTAACCCTCCCTCTGTCTTCTTGTTTTTTTCCTCCCTAATGTCTCATCTGCTGCTGCTCTCTCTGTGTGCAGTCTGTTTTTGCCGCCAAGCAAATGTAGCTGCAGATAAAGTTTTCAGCCGCAGACCCCCGCTTCTCCTCCTCGCTGCATCGCGCTTTTACCCCGCTTTGATTATACGTCATTATAGCTTGAACGTTTATTTTACATCTCTCTCTCTCTCTCTCTCTCTCTCTCTCTCTCTCTCTCNTCTCTCTCTCTCTCTCTCTCTCTCTCTCTCTCTCTCTCTCTCTCTCTCTCTCGCTCTCTTCAAGGCTGCACAGACTACAGTGACCTGCAGGAAGTCTTTGCTGAAAATAACGATCCAGACATTAAATCCGTCAGCAGTAAGAGCAGGTAAGAAGAGCCTGAGCACATTTTTTACATCATTTTTTTAACGCACCATTTGAACTGGTTTTGGCTGTGAGTTTGATCTGTAATCCATTTTACATTTGTTCAGTGTGTGTAACACACGCCTTTATTCCCACCACTCCTCCTGCCTGTTGCATGGACGATCAAAACTGCCCTTTGTTGTTCAAAATAAGGCAAATCATTAATAATGTGTTTTTTGTTTTGGTGTATAAATTATGTTATTACCAGGTGCCATATTACAGATAAGAGATTTTGTTCTCATAATATTTTATAAGGTCTTTACAACTAAAGTGTTTAAGTACAAACTCTGTTTGTTGTCTTGCCAGGGAGTGAATAAATATTATAAATTACTTTCATCATCTCCTTCTAAATAATATAACCTTTAAAGTGAAAATGAGTAACACCTGCAGGGTTTTGCTTGGTGCGTGCTAACAGGATTTATTGTCCACACATGCATGACTGCAGCGAGTGCAGGAAACTCCACAAAGTATTGTCCTTGTTTGTCTCAGACTCCGTAGCCACCATCATGGCGTGCTGTGTTGTCTTTACTTGCGTATACAGTATATTTAATGCATGCAGCTGTGGTGAAGGTACTGCCTTTATCTTGTCCTCCTTTAAACAATGCAGCCAGTCAAGACAAGTTCACGCTCCCTCTAGGCTTTGGACTCTGTACCAGTCAGGCTAGTTTTTCTTTACTTAATATAAACACAGATAAACTGACAAACACACACACACACAGAAGGGCGCTACATTTCCCACACAATCTGCTTTCATTTCTCTTCACACAGACACATATTAACTGCCCATCCTCTTATAGTGTGCACGTATGACCTTTCACCAACACTGAAGCAGAAACCACTTATGAAAATAAAGTGTTATTGTGTTATTTACAGTTTTTATTTTCAGAGTGGTTAACATTCATTATCTCACAGCAGGGAAGTGAAATGCTGAACTCTGCGTTGATACAAATGTGAAGTTTCTGCTCCAAAAGCTTCAAGTTTGTTTTATTGTTCCAAGAATTATGTTGTCTTTTAAGGTTTTGTTGTTCTGTGATGAAATTCGCTGTTGTACAGTTGTTCAAATGAGTTGTGTTGTTTTAATGAGCTGAACGGATTACTGATACTTAACCTAATTACTTTGCTCGCTCCACCCTGGCTGCTGGCTTTGACTCACGTTGTGATTTGGTTTATGGATTGGTTTTCTTACGCTTTTAAATCAATCACCTGGTCACTGACGTTGGACTGTTTTGCAATCATTCTTGTCACTTCTCCCCAAAAGAGTGATCGGGTTAGTGAACTGTAACACTGAGATAATTTAGATTGGGATTAGAGTTGTGTTTTCACAGCTTCAGTAGTTACGCAACTACCTGCACCTCGAACTGGAGTCTACCTTAATTAAAGGAGAACTCTCCGATTCTCTCGTGAAACCAAAATGAAACATCTGGAAAAAAAGTTCCCATTCGATTAAAAAACAAAACTAAATAGTTGGTTTGTTTTAAATGTTCTTAACTGTCCTGCTACCCTTGGATGAGTGGTAAAACACACAAATTTTGTGTAAAAAAGTCCGTTTTTGAATCTTTTTTAAAATTGCTTTAAAAATGCGTTTTAATAACAGGTGTGTATGAATGCTAGAAAAATAATTTAAATTTTCTAAATGAGAAAAACAGGTCACATTAATGTACTCTACAATTATGCAAGAAAACAGAACAAAGACGGAGAAGATTCTACTGCTGCGGAAGGTCACCTATAGTGTGAAGCGACGAGGGTGCAGGGCGGTCTGTCGAGGTGGCGCTCAGCCTGCACAGCATACGTCAGAGCTCAGCTGAAGGTTACGCTGTCGGAGGCCTCTACGGTGCACCGTGTTTGATGAGGGATGCAGCGGGCTCGTGTCAGCCACAGCTGCCCTTATCTGTCCTCTCTGAGCCTCGTTCCACCCACATGTTGGCTCCCCCAGATACCGGCTGCTGGAGACCCTCTCCCACCTCAAATGCTGGGCAGGCAGCAGCCCATTGACTGTTAAAGCTCACTGATTTACCATGAACATACACTGATTGTTAATTTGCTGGAAGACAGAACTGTCTGCGTCCCAAGAAGTAGTTTTTATTTACGTGTAAGCATAAATTGTGAATATTTAAATTGAAATTAGTTGCAAATGTAAGGATTTAGTTGTGAGTGTAGGTCTTAAAGGGATCCGTGATTAGTTGTAACATTAGACTTTATTTAATAAACATATATTTTAACTGTAAAATAAAGGCTGTAAAAATACTGTAGGATGTTCAGTTTTATCATTTTTAAACTAAAAGTTTAAAAATATGTTACATGGACGGGGCCATTTTATTTACACGCAAAGCATTCTGGGTAAATGATGACGTTGATAGGTCCTCGATGCGAGGCTGCTAGCGAGCTATATCCACCCTGAAGGTTAATCTTGGACAATATCTGATGACTGGCTCTTTTAAATGAAACCAGAGAGCGTTGACAGAGAGGAGAAGGTAGAAATGACTCAGCCTGGAACTGAAAATATGGAAGGAGGACAACAGAGCTGCTTCAGAAAGAGAAAGCTTCAGAAAGACCTGGAATTAGCAGGTACGACTGTTTCAAAGAAAACAATAATTAATGCACTGAACCACCATGGCCTGTATGCACACTCACCACGCAAGACTCCACTGCTGAAGAAACAGCATGTTGAAGCTCCTTTAAAGTTTGCTGCACAACATTTAGACAAGCCTGTGTAATACTGGGAGAATATAGTCTGGTCAGATGAGACCAACATTGAACTGTTTGGATGCCAGAATACACATCATGTTTGGAGGTCAAATGGCACTGCACATCAGCCCAAAAGCACCATACCAACAGTGAAGTTTGGAGGTGGGAACATCATGGTGTGGGGCTGTTTTTCAGCATATGGTACTGGCAAACTTCAAATAATTGAAGGAAGGATGAGTGGAAAAATGTACAGAGACATTCTTGATAAAAATCTGCTTCCATCTACCAGGATGATGAAGATGAAACGTGGCTGGACATTTCAGCAAGACAATGAGCCCAAACACAAAGCCAAGGAAACTCTCAGTTGGTTTCAGAGAAAGAAACTAAAGCTGCTGGAATGGCCCATGCCAATCACCTGACCTGAATCCAACAGAAAATCTATGGAAAGAACTAAAGATCAGAGTTCATAGAAGAGGTCCACGAAACCTTCAAGATTTGAAGACTGTTTGTGTGGAAGAATGGGCCAAAATCACACCTGAGCAATGCATGCCACTAGTTTCTCCATACAGGAGGCGTCTTGAAGCTGTCATTGACAACAAAGGCTTTTGTACAAAGTATTAGATAAATTTCAGTAAATGTGTTCAATACTTTTCCCCTGTGCCATTCCACATTATTACAAATAACTTCATTTCTGGACATTTATGGTTTGATTTCTTTGTATGTATGGATCACTTGGGTTGTTACCRACATYTGGTGAAAATTTCATGTCATTAGCACCTCTAGTAATATATTTACTGAGAAAAATGGTGACGTGTTCAATACTTATTTTACCCGCTGTATATGTATTAGCTCAGCGCTACACATTCTCCTCTCATCACCAAGGTCCTAGCTGGCGCTAGTGTGAAAGCTAACAGGCTAAGCTGAGGATCTTCTTCCATGAAGCAGCTCTGTTGTCCTCCATCTATATTTTCAGTTACAGGCTGAGTCATTTCTACCTTCTCCTCTCTGTCAACGCTCTCTGGTTTCATTTAAAAGAGCTGATCGTCAGATATTGTCCAAGATTAACCTTCTGGGTGGATCTAACTCGCTCACACCGAGGACCTATCCACGTCATCATTTAAACAGAATGCTTTGTGTGTAAATAAAATAGCCCCGTCCGTGTTAAAATGTATTTTTAAAAAATTACAAAACTAAACAGCCTACAGTATTTTTACCGTCTTTATTTTACAGTTAAAATATGTTTATCAAATATAGTCTAATGTTACAGCTAATCAGGGATCCCTTTAATGACACATTCTTGTAAAAAATGTTTTAACTGCAGAAAAGAAGCTCACTTTCTTGCAGTCTAAAATACGTTAAGTTTTGTTTTTAATAAGGAGCTTAATTTAGTCATTGATTTAGTAGCTGAAACAGCACTAGAATAAAAGCTTAAATATTTAGAATCAAGCCTTGACTCGTGATCAGTGTTTGGTAATTAGTGCTAAACTTTTCATTTATTGCCCTCTTTATTATTATAGCATTGTGGTTTTTATGTTCTTCTCATATCTGTGCCGGAGGGCTTATCTGTAGGATGCATGATTGTGGAAACTTGCAGCTCGTTCACTGAAACACTTGGCTGAGGACTTCTTTCAAATCCACATCTGAATAAAACTTTGATCCTGTTATTAAAAAGACGGCATTAAATTTAGTAACAACACTGATGTTTGCTCTGTGGATAAATCCTAGAAACGTAGATGAGCGTGACAATTTTTGCTTTTGATTGACAAATGTAAAAGTTGTTTTACCAAATTTTAGCGCACACATTTGTAACTTATTAATACAAACTATAGATTCAGACACCTTTATCAGTAATTAACATTTTTAAAAATTAACATGAAGACTAATTTTTCACTAAAATAATAGTGTTTTTGTTTTGTACTAATTAACAAATCAGCATACTGACCTTTTATGTTGACCCCAGCAAATATAATCTATTTGCCTAATATATACCTGTCATTGGGTTGTTTTCATGCTAATATTTGCCTTTAGCTCAAATTACAGCAGGTTGAGCCTGACAAAGCAACCACAATGATTATTGACTCAGTCTTCAGTTGATTTACAATACATCTAAGCAGCTTCACCTTTAACCAGCCTCATGCTGTGTACGTCTACATTCAGTAGTTTAGTGGGAACTTTTTTGCTGTGACTAATTAATAAACGTTAATTATCGGCCTGAGGAAGTTCCGGCTGATTGAACATGTTCTAACACGCCTCCATGAGCACATGTCATATTCAGCCACACTTCATGGTCAGATTTTTAAAAATGTTATCCATCCCCATTGTCTTATAGCACCAATAAAGCCCCTGTTGGGAAAGACAAATCTAATGAGGAAAACCATTGGTAATAAAAATGGCGAAACTCTTGAAAAAGTGTTGAATCAGCAAGTGAAAGGTCATCCCAGTTTGTATTCAAAGGCACTGGCTGCAGCATAAAACCAGTATAGTTTTGGAGGAGAGCCAGAATTGCTGCATATTTTTTCCAAGAGTGGTTGTAATGGCAGCTGTGCGCCATTTGGTGTCTGGAGTGTTGCTAAGGAGCGTTTTGATGATGTAGTCTGCTTATTGCCTCGTCAGGCTGTGCGTAAGCACCGGCTCTTTGACACTTGACGTGGACCTAAACGCCGGACATGCAAGGCTGCAGGAAGAGTGCTTGCCCCCCCCCCCCCCCCCCACACACACGCCTCCTTAGAAAAAAGTTTGTATTGATCCGCAGGCTTGGAAGAGGAGGCTGCACAGACAAGCATAATGATTAAGCAAGCGAAGCAATTGTAGCTGCTCATTTCTCAATCCTGGCTGTTTTATATGCCAGGAATGTGACTTGGTTCCTGTTTTCCAGAACGAGTGCATCAATTAAATTCCCACCTCTTCCTTATTCCTCCCTTTTTCTGCTGCAGCGTTGTCCTTCTGGGCTGTGTATTTGCATGCCGTCACACACAAACACACACACTTGTTCCCTCGCCC